ATTATTTGCACGTCATGACCTATCAGGACATACAAGCTCTCTGGAGAACATTGTATCTTCCTACTGACACTTATCTCTGGCTCTCAGCTCCCTAAATCCCAGTCATATGGTTGTGGCTCTGGAAAATTTAGTTGAAACAGAAGACAGAAGGAAAGGAAAAAGAAGTGAAGACCAATGACTTTTTCTTTTCTTTTCAAATTGTTTTTAACACACAAACTGCTTCCCCAGCTCGCATTATCCCTGGATGAATTTTGTTTGTCTGTGTGGAATCTGGGTGCACAGGTAAACCAGCACTAAGCAGGTAGCCCAGAAGGTTCCTGTCTTAGATAACTAGAGAAAAAAAGACCATTGAGTGAGACCTTTGAAATCATGGCTCCTTTGCCATCCTGGAATTGGACTAAGGTTCCTTTCCTGGCTCTTGGCTCAGTATCCTCTCTCTCCATCCAAGGCTTTTGCTTTTTTCACTTGGGGGTGCAGTAGGCAGGAAACTTCCACGTAATCTTTGGATCAACATGAAGAGGGCCTATTATGCTCAGTATCATTTGGCAAGATGTTTAACCTCCCTAGTAACCTAGCTATCTTTAGCTCCCTTACTGCTATTTTGAAATGTCAAACTAGCAAATGCTGCTTCCAGAATGGTTCTGATCTGGGATGTGACAGGATGCTTGGGGGTAGGGAAATGAGGAGGCCGGGTTGGTGAAGGAGACTTCTGGTAGAGGGTGAGATATAGCTGCTGAGATTCCTTTCCTTATACCACCTTAGCCCCTCCTCCCCACCATGGGTTCGACCCAGTCAAGCAGGGTCAAGCAGGCCAATGGCCTCACCTGACCTAACCTAGAAGGATGTCTGCTTCTGTGAGTCTGGGACCAGAGTTGAATATCACATTAGCCAAAAGAGCAAACTGACTTTCATGTGCCCAATTCAGTCCAAAAATATTAATTAACTCATTCTTTCAACAAATACCTTCCTCCAGCTATATGTGAGACACTGGAGGAAGTACGGAAGATACGGTAGCTTGCCAAGGTTAATATGACTTGTCTATTAGATTTTTGTGGTTTGACAGATGCCCGATAAAAAAAAAAAACATAAATTTATGAAGCTAAATTTAACTTCATGGTTTCAGAAATTTCAGTTCATGATCCTTGGCTCTATGATTCTATGGTAAGGGCTATGGTAAGGTTGAATATCATGCCTATGGGAATGTGTAGAAGAGGAGGGTATTCACCTCATGGTAGATAGGAAGCAAAGAGAATGCAGTAAGGATGTGGGACCAAGTAAAACCTTCAAAGGCATCAGGTGATTTGATTGAAAACTGTAGGTTTGGGTATTTGAACACCTGGTCTCCAGCTGGTGGCACTGTTTGGGAAGATTACCTTTAGGAGGTAGAGCCTTGCTGAAGAAAGTAGGTCACTGGGGATAGGGTTTGAGAGCTTAGAGCTTTAGCTCATTTCCTACTTTCCTGCTCTCTGCTTCCTATGTGATGAATATATGACTAGTCAGCTTCCTGAACCTGCAACCACGCCTTCCATGCCTGTTGCCATGTGTTTCCTGCCATTGTGACCTCTATCCCTCTGAAACCGTAAGCCAAAATAAACTCTTTCTTCCCTAAGTTGCTTTCTGGTCATGGTATTTTATCACAGTAATGAAAAAGTAACTAATACAGAAATTGGTACCAGAAGTGGAGTGTTGCTGCAATAAATATCCCTGTGTGGGTTTTCTGCATTTGGGCTACTAAGTGAAAGATTTTGGAACTTTGGATTGGAAAAGACTTTGAATTCCATAAGCAGAATTTAGCAGACTGTTTTAGTGGAAGCATGGAAGACAGTAATACTGAGAGAAATGTTTATAGTGAAGCCCACCTCATGAGGTTTCAGAAGGGAACAAGAATTCTATCAGCAACTACACTAGAGACCATTTGTGTTGTTTTGGCAAAGAATCTGGCTTCATTCTGCTTATATCCCGAGAACCTGCTTGAGGCTGAGTTAAAAGGTGATAAAATAATTTCTTTGGTGGAAGAAATTTCAAGATATTGAGTCTTTGGAATGGTTATTACTGCTGACTCTTATGAGGTCTACAATGAAAGAGAGCAACAAGTGGGACAGAAAGAAATGGAAAAAAAGTTCAGTTTGGAGAGGAAAGGGGTACTAGGAAGCTTAAGGTCACAGTCAAGTCCTGTGCTGAAAAAGAGACAGTGATTGTTAAACAGATTAGAAGCATTAAAGAGAAACCTCCTGCTCTGCATGGAAACAACAGGAAGGTGCCTGAGGGCAAGACTCTAACCAACGGTTGGCTTTGGAGACAAGAAAGGTGTAAGATTGAGGGGTAATGGATTCTTCCTCAGCTTTCAGAGTTTTAGGGAGCTGCTGAGGCTAGGCAACATGTGACAGGCTTAGAATTCCTGTGAAGAGGTCCTGAGAAACTATTGTGTGATGCTGGCTGTAAAGATGAAGTCTGGTTTGTGGTGGAGATCTCAAGATATTGGAGATGCTAAAGGTGTGGGATATCTGCCAAGAAGGGCTGCATCCAGGAAATGCAACCAGCTCTCTCTCTCTCTCTCTCTCTCTCTCTCTCTCTCTCTCTCTCAGCAAATCTGGAGGGACTGAGCCATCTAAGCTCTTTGAAACTGAAACCCCATATACTAAACATGGATTTGTAAGATTTTGTGTTTGCCCTGATGGGTCTCAGGCTTGCTTTGGTCCAGTGTTTCTCACTATGCCCCCATTCTTCCCTTTGGGAAAGATAATGCATATCCTGTGCCATTGTATATTGAAAAGATGCAATTTGTTTTTTATTTTATTTTGCGTCATAGTTAGGAAAGTGTATTGAGTCTCAGAATAAACTTTTGACTCTGGATTTTTAAACAGTGTTGGGACTGTCAAAGACTATTGGGACTTTTGAACTTGAACTAAATGCATTTTGCATCATGAGATGACCATGAACCTATAGGGGTTGGAAAGGGATGTGGTGGTTTGAATGAGAGATGTCCCCCATAGGCTCATGTATTTGAACACTTGGTGATGCTGTTTGGGAAGGTCGGGGAACCTTTAGAATGTGGAGCCTTGTTGAAGAAAGAGTATCACTGGGGTGGGTTTGGGGGTTCATAGCTTCATCCTACTTCCTACTTCTGGCTCTGCTCCTTGTGTATGATGAAAATGTGAGCAGCCAGCTTTCTAATCCTGCCATCATGCTTCCTGAGGCAGCTTCTGTGTCTGCCCTACCATGATGGACTCCCTCTCTCTGAACTGTAAGCCGAAATGAACCCTTTTCTCCTCTAAGTTGCTTTTTGTCAGGCATTCTAACACAGTCGTAGAAAAGTAATATACAGTGACCTACTTGCTTCAAGTCGGCCCCATATCCTAAAGTCTCTAGAACCTCTCAAAATAGTACCACCAGCTTGGGACCAGCACATGAGCTAGGGTGGGGGTGGAGGTTGGTGGGAAAATGGAGGATGATGTGTTCCATAGTCAAACCATAATACTTTGGAATCATATAGTTTTGTTGAAATGCATATTCTTAAGCTCCACCTCTGGGAGTGAATCCCAGGAGGTTCATTGTCTAAGAATCTGCATTTGACCAAGTATCCAGGCCCCTACCCAGGTAGTCCACAGTTTTGAGAAGCTTTGGTCCACCTATTTTCAAAATAGGCACCAGCACCTGATGCTAACAGCTAGGGACAAAGACACACCATCCCTGACCTTGAAGAGCTCGCATTTTCATTTCCAGGAGACAGACAAATAACACGATCTTAGGGTGCTAAGCCCTGTGAAAGCAGAGGAACAGCACAGTTAGAGAGCCCTATAAAGGAGATAACTCACTCAGGTTTTCGGGGAGGCTTTATAAAGGAGGCATCTTTGAGCTGGGATTGATTGCATAGGAAGTGTTCTTCAGACAGAACAGATCAAGTGTACACTTGCTGAAGATGGACTCTCCAAGACGTATCTCCCACCCCATGCGTTCCCTGTTCTTGAATCTGGTTGAGAGCTTGTGACTTCTTCCATCCAGAGGGTGTCAAAGAAATGAACGTGACTTGAGAAGCTAGATCACAGAAAGATCATATAGCTTTTGCTTAACTCCTTCTGGTAACGCTTAGGGTCCCTGTTCCACCAACAGGTGAGGAATCCAGGTACCCCGAGTCTGCTATGCTGTAGAAATCATACAGGGAAACCAGACAATTCCAGTCCAAGCTTATGAATCACCTTGGCTCACTGGAGAATGACCTGCATTTCTTAGCCAGCCAGAATTTCAGTATTGTAAGCAAAACAAATGTTTTTATAAGAATTTTTTTGTGTTTTGGTGTGTTTGTGTGTGAATGCAGGTATATACTAGCAATGGCGCATGGGTGCAGGTCAGAAGACAGCCCTGGGTGTGCTCTTCACCTTCTATTTTGCTTGAGGCAAGCTCTTTTTGTTGTTTCCCTGCTGCATATGTCAGGCTAGCTGTTCTGGAGCTTCTGGGGAGTTTCCTGTCTTTGCTTCCTATCTCCTTGTAGGAGCACTGGGATTATAGATTTTTGTGAAAACCTATCAGGCTTTTGCATGGGTTCTGGGAACTTGAACTCAGGTCCTCATGGTTTTGTGGCAAATGCTTTTATCCATTGAATCATCTCTCCAGCTTCTGTTTTCCTGCTTCTAAAACACTACATTTTGAGGTGCTTTTTTACACAGCATTGGTTACTTGAAATAGGCCATCAGAGTGTTTGAAGCAGAGGAGTGTTAGCAGGTGCAGAGGTCTGAATAAGTACAAAAGGTATATATACTATTTGGGAGTTTGGAGAAATTCTGTGTCCTCATGCAGAGGTTAGGGGTCTGCATCCACCACAGACTGACACATGCAATCCACTGACCAGTGTCTTTGCCCAGGAAGTGAGGTCCAATTCTTCTCCCCAGGTTATGTGACCCACCAGTAAGTGATGTCTCAAATTGACATATGTAGTTTTAACTTTCATATCTTTGTTGAGGTATAATTTTGAGAGTACAGGCAGCACCTTCAAAATTCTCAGGAAAAGATTTATTAGATTTTAAAATTGAAGCAAGTCGAACATCATTTAGTTTCAAGGACTGCTCTCGATGTACAGCAGGCTATAGCAAAAGTTAATTGTGTGAGTGAGGCTCTGGTGTAGGTTGTAGCATCAGCACCAGCACCCTTGACTGGTGGGATCATAGAATCCCAAGAAAGGGAAGCATCTTTACAGGTCTCTCTCCAGTTCATCCTGCAAGCAGCAGGGACTTGTCTTCTGCTTAGACTCTCTTCTACCATTCATTCATGCCTATTATGAAGCTTTTTCTTTGGTTGGGTCCAGATCTCCTCAGAATTCCCACACGTTATAGGGGCTCTGCCTTTGGAGCATCTGAACCTTTCCTTATGACTACTGTGATGGTTTGGAGACATGTCAACTTGTCCATATTGAGGCACACCTGTTCCCCTCTTGTGGTTGGAGTGAACCACAACAGAGACTGTTTCATAGGAAGTGTAGGCTGGGTAGAAGACTGGACCACCTTGGAACATGCAAAGACCCTCTCTAATGATTCCATCCCACACTAAGTGCTTCAGTGAAGAGGATTTGCAGATCTAACATCTTTGACCAGTTTGCTTTGAATAAGAACAGCTGGACTTCCCTGTGAGTTCTCCCTTCCTGGTTACCTGCCCTGTGGACTTGGAGTTTGCTTTACCTGGTCCCACAATTGAATAGGATAATTGTTATACATTTCATTTTTCCTTTAATAAAAATATGTTGATCTGTATATCCACCAACCCCACCTACTTAATGGTGAATCTGTTGCTTAATTATCTCTCTCAGCCTCGGTTCTGCTTTGCTGATAAAACCACCTTTCAGAAGCCCTCTGTGCCCCAGTCCTCCCCGTCTAATAATGGAGCCTTATTCCCCACAATGTTCCTTGTACAATGTAGTTTTAAGCCTCTTAACAATCCTAGCATCCAAACATCCTGCATATTATGCCTGTCTTTCTTGCAATTTTATCTAACCAGAAAGCATTTATTCCATTTCCACTGTACGCAGGGGATCATCTGGAGGTACAACAAAAACAAGATTCACCAGTTCCTGTGTTTACAGAGCTTAGCCCATAGTTCTGAGGCCACATTCCCTACAGGGTTTGTACCCATCCTATAAGCACTGGAGAGGCATGGCCACTTGACCATGCTGAGGACAATCCTGGTTCTCATAGTTACTAAACAGTGTTTGATGACTGGTTTGGCCAGTCATTCTATTAACTTCCAGTCATGTCAACACAATTCATTCCATACTATCTTCACAGCATTCATATGGGGAGACATGTTCCTGCTCAGCTCTCAATGGTCCAGAAGAATGCAGAGCCAAACACAGCCCCAGGTGTAAGACCCTGAAGACCAGGCTTGTGGCCATGTGTCAACGGTGTGGCCTTGTCCTCCAAGGGACTTCAAGATGTGTAGCTGGCCTCAAGTTCTTTACAGATGCTCTTTTTCTCTGTGGCTGTAATTCTGCTGCCTTGCTACTGTAGTCTAAAGGCCAAGAAAGTCCAGTGAAGAGCTTTTTCCTCTTCAAGGCTTGACATAGCAACTCACTCAGACAGGAATAAAGTATACTTACACCGGGAACAGTTTTTTCTGTTGTTAACAGTCTGGGCTTATTTGATATACAACACAATATGAACCCTAAGATACTGTTCTCAGCCAAGCCTGCAGGACTTTAAGAAGAGCTGTAAAGAAAGGAAGGAGCAACTATGAGCATTTGCCTGAAGCCGGGGGCTGTGCCAATTATGAGGATGACGCACTAATAGAACAATAATAACATTACAACATACTTAAAATATGGCAGACAGTGCTTCAAATGCTTTACATGTATTAACTTATTTAATATTTTTAATAATAGCATAGTTAGTTGTTCTATTTTGTTCCTATAAGATTGATGAGGAAATACAGAAGTTTGGAAACCTCCTGAAGTATATATAGTAAGTGGCATGCTTGGCATTTGATCCTAGGCAGACTAGCTCCACTCTACAGCAGAACCATAGAGCCCTGTTTCTCATTCAGTCTTAAGAGCCTCATGTAGAGAGTGCTGTTTCAGCTTGCTTAGATCCTCCCCAGCAATTGCTTTACTCTAACAACATGTCAGCGTTGTTCCTTATCAATAAGCTTCTGGGAGAGCAGGACTCTGTCTCATTCCCTACTGGGTATAAGTGCCTGGGATAGTATCTGGCACAATAACATGGAAGCCTAATGATAAATATTTAAGAATGCACACACTTTACATATGAGTAACCAAAGTAACTACACAAGGTCAAACTGACAAATGAGCGACAGAATCTAATTTCTGTGAATTCCAGGCTGAATTCCAAGGTGATTTCAGAGCCTTCGCTCTATCATGTTTTCTTCTTAGCCATGCACTGACTTCTCAGAATGGAGCCTGTTACATTGTAGGTACTCAATAAAATGAATGAAGTAGCCTGTTGACCACCTCTCCTAGCACCCCACTGCTCCACCAACTCATCTTAGGCTTCCATCTTTTCCATGTTGACAGCAGTCTAAGCAGGTTCTCTAGGCCCCCATCCCAATGTGCTCTCTGCCTATTCCTTACTAAGCATCATGTTTGTATTAGTCCTGCATACATCCCCAGTCACTGTTGGAAGTGCTGTTTGAGCTTCCGCTGTCCTTTAGGGTAATGTTACTTACCCAAGATGCTATTCTTGTACACGTTGTCTCTGGAGTGTCCATGTAGTCACTTTGGTTTCCTAGATCCATACACTACTACATGAAGATTCCCAGCCCACTAAGGCATTAAAATGGAGACTCTTAGTTTGAGGAGGGAGGGAAACTTTTTTGAAGAGAACTATGGCAACTTTCTGAAACAAGCAGAGTCATTTCTATTCCAAAGTTTAAAGAGAATCTCAGGCCAGTGATAGGGAAGCTGCATTCGAGAAACTGAAATTCTATGGGTCAGAGACTATGCTGCAATGGGCATTAACCCAAAGAAGCAAGCCTCTCAAGTAAATGAACTATAAACTGAGGTTCTGGTTCCTACTTCCCAGGAAGCTTCTAGGCAGGTAGTCAGAATCTGTGTCAGTACAGGAGTAAGAGACACATAGATCCTATTTCAGGAAAGATAAAGTTGTTCCAGAAGAATGGAGGTAAGTTCAAGGGGGAAATAACAAAAGGTAGGATTTGCTAGGTTAGTGAAGGCTAGCTCCTAATGTTTATTCTTAAGGCAAGAGGAAGTCATCTATCAGAGATGAGTGTGGGAAGGCTTACATTAGTTGCCAAGTTGCTATTAAAATACTTGGAACATATTTGGAACTCTACCCACACCTGTGGTATTGGTGGTCCTAAAATAATGAATTAATTTCAGTGCTAACTTATACTTTGATTAGGCGAGTCCCTTCCTATATGGGGACCTTTGTTTACTCCCTCTAAAAGAAGATAATAAAAAGCAGGCAGATTGGCAAACTTAACATGCTGAATAGTTTCCTTTTCTGAACTGTTCCCAGAGGGCCAACAAGCCTTCAATAGGTGTGACTAATAAAGTACAAAAGATAAATAGAGTGCCTTAAAAGATCTGATATTTCTTATTTAAATTTTACCTGTCTTTACAGCCTGCCGGAAGCCTATCATTCAACTCCTTCCAATCCAATCGCCCTCCGTGAATAAAGACAAAATAAATCAGAAGCTGCCTGCTTTTAAACTCTCTAAATGAAAGCCCAGCATGCATGCGGCCTCCCTCCAAATTAATCACCGGATTAAATGCAAGGCGTGCACACCAGATCAATAACTTGTGACAGAGATCTCCTGTCTGTGCTTTAGGAAAATTCCAGTTCCGTTCAGACGCTGTTGCTTGAAATGTCGGGAAATTTCCATTCATCACCGCCCTTGAAAACGCCACCCTTGCCATCCGTGTGTGCTTGCTTCCTTTCTTCAGAGGAACTGAGGTACCTTGTAGAGGGAGCCCACTTCTTACAGCCTCTGGGGGCCTCAAAATAAGCCATGTGTGAAGGGAGGGGCATAGAGAGGTTTGCCTGAAAAATAAGAAAGCAAAATCATAAAGAAGCCCAGTGCTGCCTTCCAATGCCCCCAAAGAGACCACTTTTATGTGTTCCCTCAGTGGGCAGCTTAGGGTATGGGGAAGAAAATACATTTAGGAGTTTGAGAAACAGGAGTTTAAATCCTGACCTCATGCTTCTCTGTGCCTCATTGTTGTCTATAAAATAGAGGACATAAAAATGTACCGGGTTCAAGTCTTCACAGGGACACTTACTAATCACATAGCCTTGGGTAGGTTATGTAGCCTTTCTTTACCTGAACATCTGCATTTGTACATGACGTCACAGTGACCAAGTGGCCAGCCTGCTGTCACTGCCCAACACATAATCATAATGGATTACTTCATCTCTGCATCAAGGCTGCATCAACATTCCTTGCTCTTCAAAACTTGACCCTGCCAGTACCTTCTCCAGGAACCAGGTTGACTTAGGTCTCTTTTGAGGTGCTATAATAAAATTAATAGTAATGAAGAAAATACTTGTAATGTTAACATTGCATATGCCTTTAATCCCAGCACTCAGGAGGCAGGGGCAGGTGGAGCTCAGTAGTTCAAGGTCAGCCTGGTCTATATAGAGAGTTCCAGGCCAGCAGCTGGGGCTACAAGGAGATCCTGTTTTCAAAAGGACCAAAAAAAAAAAAAAAAAAAAAAAAAAACCAAAAATTTTGGGGGTTTTTTTTTTTTTTTTTGTTTTTTGTTTGGGGGGTTTTGGTTT